TTATTATTATTTTTATTACTCCAATATTTTAGATTTAGAATCAACTTCTACTGAGGTACTTCATTTGCATAACAATACTTCAAAGAATATTATTGAACAAAAATCACATTCAATTGTAAATAAGAAACGTTTATCTTATGAAATCGACGAGGATATATTACCTAATGCTAATAAAAAAAAAATTATTATTGATTTCCCAGAAATGAATTCAGGTTTGATATTCTTAATAAAACACAACATGAGTTTTTAAATAAAATGTGTATGATTTTGCTTTTATAGATGTAAGTAGTCAACGTTCTAAGGTCACTAGTACTATAATAAATGAACAGGACAAAAACATAAATAACTCAATGATGTTTGATTCTGAAGATTTATTTTCTGATATTATTTTGGATTCAAATGTAGCTGTCGAAACAAGTAATTTTTATTTGAAATTAAAAAGTTCATTATTAAAAATAACTGATTATTAATATTAATTTGTTCCTGCATTGCAGATAATCTTATTTCTAATAAAAATTCAGCATCGTTGGACAATGATTTTCAAATTGATGTTATGAACAGAATTAATGAAAAGTTCAGTAAAGTTCAAGACCACATCACTAGAGGTATTCAAATTTTCATTGTGTGAATTTTTGCACTAAAACTTTTAAATATCAAAATTTAGTGGATGGTGTATTTTACATTAAACACTACATTGATTTTTATTTTGCATACATTACAATCAACCCTAGTTTGCTAATGGAAATACCTACAATGTGTCCTCTCACCTCTGTCTATATTATTACTATAATATATGTTGAATTTTGTTACTTTGTAATAAAGTGTAGTATATGTTTTATATAAAGATGTGTTTATAGTTAACTATCAAATAGAATTAATGCTGTTATTAATAAATTCAATATTAATTTTCTTTAGAGATAAAAACTTATCAGAATGAAATTTCAAGGATACTTATTTCAATAAATTTACGTCACGCGGAAATGAATAATTGCTTATTTAACATCCAGAATTTAATTTCAAACACAATTAAAGGAGTAACACAAGAAGAAACAAATGAAGATAATAATACATTGTATAACTCATTTCCCATATCAAGTATAGCAGATTTCAATGAAATTGACAAAAAACTTGACTCTATCAAAGGAACTCAATTATTTTCTTCTTTGGTAATTTTACATAATATTTAGTTTCATTTCTCACATAGGTGAATCCAATGTGATTCCTGTTTAGCTATATGCATATGATGGAAAACAGGCCAAACTTTTATATGTTCTATTAAAATTGTATTCACTTATGAAAACCATTGTAGGTTAAAAAAATGGCCTTAGTTGGTGGTAACAGTGAGGCTGAATATATAAGAAGACTTATGAGGAATACAATAAGCGATGAAGTAGCTAAGAATTTCAGTCTTAAAGGAAAGCAAAAAAAAATGAGTTTTCTATCTACAACATGTTCTTATCTTCTTAAATGTAAGTTATATTCACTCTTCAATTCCTTTTGAATCAAAATAATGAATTTAATGTTATTATAAATACCTATTTATTTATAAAAATAATATATATAGTTACATAAGCACAACTATGGTTAATACTGGAGTTGGACAGCCCTTGTCAAAACTATAAAATAAAAATAACCTGACATCTTCCTCAGACCACCATCACATATAATATTTTATAAATTAATTACTTAAATCATTTTTTTACTAGACACATACTTACACAGGTAAAACAATTGTTTATTTATTTTTATTTATTAAAATATTAATATTCCTTTAGTCATCATTATGCTAACATATTAATATGAGCATAATTAGTAACAAATATTAAAACCAACAAGGTATATTTTCTTGGGTCCTAAATATTGGTCAGTGGGTTGAGCCCGCCCCCCCCCCCCCCCCAATAGTTGTACCTATGTATATAAAAGTTAATATGTTTAATTATATTTATGCACTATCTCAATAATAATGAACTTTTAAACAAAATATCTCAAATTTATTATATATATCAAAAATTATTTTTTTTTTGAAGGTGCTATACGATTAAAGTATCCCGACTTAGCTGACAAAAATATTGAAGGAATTCAAGGAGTTTGGTTAGCTAAAGCTAAAGAAAGGTTGAAATTTATGCTAGAAAACACAGCTAAAGCTAATAACGACTGTACTACTTAATTTTTTATTATATTATATGTAAAATATTATATTTTCTGGTTACATTAAATTTATATTTCAATTTTTATAACTTTGTAGAGAAAACTATTAATTCATCTTTATGTATATTATATAATTTTTATTCCAAAGTTGGTTATATTAAATTTATAAGTTATAAATAGTTTTCGTTTAATAATATTAAATTTATATTTTAATTTGTATAAGTTTGTAAAGAACACTGTTAATTATTCATCTTTATATATATTATATAATTTTTATTCCAAAGTTGGTTACATTCAATTTATAAGTTATAAACAGTTTTCGTTTAATAATATTAATTCATTTTTTATTTTTTATTTCACTGTTTGTATTA